TGGTACCATGTCCAATAATTTTATAAGATACATCAACAAATTGCAGCTTCCTGCAATAACACCAGCGGAACTGCAAAAACTGTGCTACTTGGAACATCGTACATCTTAAGAAGATACTTGGTTGATACCTAGGATGCTGGCAGCAACCCGTATCAACAATTAGCCCCAGTCAATGGTATTTGTGATGCATTTTTGAATGTTCAGTTGACTGAGTTTCATGTTTAATGAATAACATATATAATAATTCAATTTGTTTAGCTGTGCTTATGTGACTTTGGGTGAGTCACAGTTAAACAAGAAGAACTATAAAAATGTAAATAAAAACAACATACTAAAACGATAATTAAGGCTGAATTAAAACACAGAACATGGTCATCATCAGTGGGTAAGTATAATCAATTGAAGGTTGATGGTTCAACCATTGAAAAGGATGTCAACTACAAACTTGGTAAAAAAATAAAAAATCTACTGGGTGGCTCTGTTCTGAGTTACACATTATTCAGTCTTTTTTACTGTATTGTATAACAATCCTTCTTTTGAAATCTCAGAGCATATTTTTGCTATGGAAATCTTAAATAAAGTTTGCCAACCATTTTGTAATTGTTGCTTCAGGGAGAAATTGCTTCATTTTAATAGTGAGGGCTATCCTTCTTCTCCTTCACCATTAAGTAAAATTTATTACATTAAATCCCTTCTCTTTATATGAATCCGTAATTGCTGTTTATATAAAACTGACCTTTGGAGAACATGGCAAGTTTCTTTGGGGCATGATTGTTCTGCTTGCAAAGTTGTTAATTACGAATCTAGAGAAATAACTTAAAAATGTTCCAATAGATTATATATAGGCTTGACTACATTAATGAAGCACTGTAGGGAAATTATACAGTACATGTGCAAAGTAAATAAACGCCTTGTAAATATGGAAGCAGAAGTGGGACTGTGATATATTACAAGGGAAAGAATTCTGCTCCAAAATGTTTAAAACCTAAAAAAAATACAATATATAATAATGTTTAAGATTTTGCATAGCAGCTTTTCCTGTGAAATCTTGCCTGGAGCAGCTCATTAGCTCATAGAATTTTTTAGAACTTTATAAAACAGATGAGATAATAGGGGGAAAAAGTGTATATGTACTATATATTTCTATAACCCAGTAAATGGTATCTGCTTTCTGTATATTAGAGGAAAGAAAAACAAAAATTAGGTTGAGCCAGTTGTCAAGAACAAAATGGTTTATGTTAGGACTCTTATATTTCATACAACACTTGACAGAGAAATATGGGTACTACTGCTTTACTTACAGCCATCCATTATTCACTGATAACTAAGACACTTGGTTGACAAGGTGAGAACCTGTGGCAGGCTTTTTCTAAAAACCTATTGAATTTTAACCCTTCAATGCATATTTTCCCCAGAAGTTTGTTGTTGTTGTTGTTGTTGTTGTTGTTGTTGTTGTTGTTTTTGTTGTGCATTAACATCTCATTTTGAAAAATATAATTCAAGGTAGGACACTTTTCAAAATTAATTTTAAATGTCATGGACCAGGGGTATCAAACTCAAGGCCCGCGGGCTATTTATGGCTCATGGGGTGCTTAGATCTGGCCTGTGGGGCTGCTCTGGAAACAGCGAAGAACCGGCCCACAAAAATGGAGCTCGGGAGGACCTCACACAGACTCCATTTTCACTGGCAGAGGGCTGGAGGATGTCAACCTGGCCACGCCCACACCTGGCCACACCCACTCAGCCCTCCTAAGTCAAACACAACCCTGATGCGGCCCTCGATGAAATTGAGTTTAACACTCCGCCATGGACATTGGGTCAACAGGGCAAAGAGTTTATTAGTTAAGTATATCAGGCCTGGATTTCAATGGAGAAATGAGTTCTATAATTTATTTGAGAAGCGGAAAATAATTAGTATGGATCTTACTTATAAATCTCTGAAAAGGAAATAAATGTGCCATGCATCAAAATCTATAGAACCCACCTCAATGATACTCAGTTGTTCACACATGTGAAATGTGCTACATATTACATGTCTTAGTAAATCCGAAGAATGGTACAATCTTCTTTCTGAAAAATATTTCCATGTCCTTCTTTCCTTTTTATCTCTGAATGGATGATTTGATGCTCTTTCAGTTTATATTCATTACCTCACCGGTGTCTGAGATCTGGAAGCAGAGTTAGAGTTTTCTGCATATTATTACTGCTACCAAAAGCTATCTAGAGCCTTTCTGGCTAGATAGCCCCAAATTGTACAAGACTAAACATACTGCAAGATTCAAAAACATACTGTTCCTATGAAAGCACAAACCCATTAGGATTCTAAGTGGTGCTGCTATTTAATCACTGTGCACAGGAGGAACCCTAAGCCCAACCTGTGGGTTACTTTCTAATGACAATACAGTACTATGGAAAATAGATGGCACATTGTTATGTTTACAATGTTGATTCAACAATTAACTGTAGCTGATCCAATTGCAGTTAACAAAGTTAACTGCATGTTATATACCTGTGCACTGGAGAGTTGCTCCTGATTTGAGCCGGTTCGGGTGAGCCGGTAGTGGTGATGATGTGATGTCAGAGAACCGATTCTCTATGACTGTGAGCTGGGCCCTCCTGCCCGCCCCCATGTTATACCTACCTTTATTTGTAATTTTTTAGCTCAGCTGATAGGTGCATCAGAGTGGATTGCTGTGCCTCAGCTGGGCAGAAATCTAATGCGCTTGTGCAGAGCTCAAGTTTGGTGCATCTGCGAGTGAAGCATGCACACATGCAGTGATCATGTGCAATGTGTGCATGAAGAGAACCGGTGGTAACACCGGTTGGAACCCATTACTGTACCCATGATGGCGAACCTATGGCATGCGTGCCCAAAGTTGCACGCAGAGCTATGTCGCCTGGCATGCACAGCATCGCCGGTTCCTCTTCCAGATTTCTGGAGCGCATGCACACACAGAGATCAGCTGGCCTTTGTGTGTGCAGCAATGCTGGAAACTGAAAGAGCTGGTCTTCTATTTTCTGGCAGGAGCATTCATGCCAGCCAGCTGACTGGTGCATTGTGCATGCTTGTCAGTAACGAGAAGACTTGCTGGCCAGCACGCATGTGCATGCTGGAAATTGGAATTACCTTATCCAGCGCGCGCATACCCCCTGGGCAGCTCCTCTTCCTGGTCGTGGCCATGACAAGGGCACGCACGCACGCCATCACTGTTTAAAGGACATACTTTAAAATAAATGATGCTTTGTCCTATACAAATGTGGATTCATCCAACTCCATCTTATGTAAGAATTATATTGATTTCCTTGCTGTTTCATTCCTTTATTATTATTATTTTCTAAAAAATAATGTAACAAATTCTGTGTGGTCAAATGCACCTCTTTCTGACAAATAGAGATTTGTATACAGTTTTCCCTATTGTATAGTGCTTTCAATATGATTTCACAGCCCCTGTCCCAACCCCTCATGCCTGCAAATATTTTCCAGGACATTTCAGATTATTATTAACATATGGTATTGTTACAGTCGCCAGGAGACCACAAAGCATATCCACAGGAGTAGTTTTGGGTCATCGAGATACCAGCCCTGTTGTAGGACACACTTGTGTCATGGGTGGTATTCACTTACCTTTGCTACCGGTTCGCAAATGTGAGTGTGCGCATGCGCAGGGCCTTCCACGCATGCACAGAGTGTCAAAAATGGGATGTCATTATGTCCAGGTGGGTGGGCGGAGCCTCCTGCAGCCACCATTACCGGTTCGCTCAAACCGGATAGAACGGGCTGAATACCACCACTGACTTGCGTGCTTCCCAAACTGTGAACCAGGAGGGTGACTTTGCTTCGCACCAGACAGAAAGATGAGCAGCTCTTCCTTCCAAAGTCCCTTCCTTTCCTGAAACTGCCTTGCAAGCAGGCATCACAAATCAGGAAGTTTCAGAGCCACCAGGAATCCAACTGCCTGCATCAGTTCGTCTCCCCACTGAAGTGGTACCTATCTATCTACTTGCATAGAATATGCTTTCAAACTGTTATCTGTATGGAAGCTAAGGCAACTGACAAGAATTCACCCTTCCATGCACCCAAACTGCCAAACCATCTTCTGTGTCATTAAACCACTGAATCAACGTGCCTCCTAATACTTCTGTCAAATGCTAGAAGACTCTATGTAGGATAGATCTTGTAATTACAATATCTAATTCAGTAGATCCCCCAAATTTACTGTAATAGAATTCTGTGCAAGTTTTGTATCGCAATGCAAATCAAAACATTCAATCAATCAATATTTCTTGTCTCTACATTGCTTTAGTCCGCTCACTGCCAATATTCAGAGACAGTCAGTATCTAGTCCATGCCTGTCTGGAAATCCTGAAGTTTGGATTTGACTGGCTATTTATCAAGCAGTAAAATGAAAACCATCAACAGCCAGATAATTATATGGGACTGGCATAAGGCAGAACATAGACAGCAATAGGTGAGTAGAATTGACAGATTTCAGCTTTGGCAGTGCTGCTCAATGTGTTTTTGTCTGTAATATAAAGCATTGATTATAAACATTTGTGATGAGTCCAAAAATGAGAAGCAGTTTTTTCATTTTCTCATCTCAAAATCAATGACAGCTGTTTTTCCAACTGCCCTTGTAAATTTCATTAAGTTAAAAGCTCTAAAGAAGTGCTATATAAGAGTATAAGTGATGTCACTGAATTGTCTCCAAGCTATGATTGCTATTGGATTTTCATAATCACTCTGAATTGATATTTCTAGATGAAGGAAGAAATTGGGAGAAACCAAGCAGAGGTCAGTTGATTTATATTAGTGTAAAACGAAAATAGCAGCAATTTGATGAGATGCAGACAGGCTACGGCAAAGATTTTACTTGTTCAGGGGATGACACAGATAAGAGAATCAATTGCTAAAAGATAGAGTAGTCATGAACAAATTGCCACTCTTGAGATCTGACTGGATTTGCTTCAGATACCTATCCAATCCTCTAATGAGCTTCAAAGTAATAATTCTTTTATTGATATATACGGGTTGAATGATATGTGCATAGAATCATTGACATTGTTAATATAATAACAAAATGTACTTACAAGCAAACAACTGAAGACAGAAATGATGCAATTCTGACATCTTTAAAGTGAGATTTTAGCAAATAGAAAGCAGTGTAAAGCAAGAAACTGATTACACGGAACAGAAGAAAATGGACATTAGTAGATGCCCACTAAGTCCAAGCACTTAGTCAGAGTTTCACTAATGACTTCTGACCTCTGTTCCTTTCCCCTTCCCCTTCGGAGGAATATAAATCAGGATAAAATTGCCCCAATTCAGTGTGGTACATCTTCCCTAACATTTTCTCTAAGGCAAGCTTGTGTAGTATGCCATATAGTACATAATGCTGTATATGTGATAAACCTTAAATTAAATTAAAATCAATTGCATTAAGTGAACTATTATTAAGTTAATATTCAGTTGTGAGCCACAAGCTGGAAAGATGGTTATCACCAAAATACAGATATGTGGATTTTGGATTAGCAAAAACGTGTGGCTGGTGAGCATCATTTGCATTGGTCGTGAGGATAGTCATGCAAAATGCAATCTTGGTTTTAGTAATGTTTCACTTATGTCTCTGCTTATTGGCAAACTGAAGACCATATTGTCCATAGTATTCAAGATAAGTGTGGCATATGGGTATTTATACCCCTAAGGAGAGCTGCAAATCAGCAAAATGTCTGCTGGACAGCTGCCTTTAATAAGTGTAATTTATTATTCATTGTTGGTGTTCCTTTCTGCAGGGTATTCCCTGTTGTTTTATGTGCAGAGTAGCTGTGCGTACTTGACTGTCTTCCTGTGGATAAAGGACTGTTTGCCATCTGAGATGATTTGATTGTGAATCTGTAGATTTAAAGTAGAGCTCCGGGGATGATGTCGGTCCAGCAAATGTTATATGGTATCAGAAATGAATTAACTATTTAGAGCCTTTCTTTTACCTCCAGCATCCTTGTAACAGCATTGCAGAGACTTGATGGAAATGGCTCCAGGCATTTCTGTTGTATGTGATTGCTGGCGGGTCAGAGTGGCAAGAGGAATGACTTCAGTGTGCTTCGTTTCTGCATCTTGCTGGCAGAGAGGAACAGGAGATTTATGACATGGTTCAGTTTTCACAGGAGGTACATAAGCAAAAACTGCAAATAATAATAGAAAAGTTTGCCGCTCCATTATTTTGTCCCTGGGAGATACATTACTTTCAAAAAACATAGGTTCTTTGGCAGAACTCAAGGGGCACAATGAGTGTTGATTTAAACGTTAGGGAGTCAAAAGACCTGAATTTTTTAGAATTCATTGAATCGCTTATAAAAGATAAGATTGTAGGCAACCTGTGTTCAGCCACCCAGAAAAAAAAGACGGTTGAAAGGTAGATAAAGTGGTAGACATAGATAGCACAGAGGAAGTCCTGGCATCTCAGATGGAACTGTTGGGGTCCCTCTGAGAAGGAGATGTATGCCTTGCAGGTTAATTAGCTTTGGATAAATATCTTTATGGACAGCTGATACCTTCTAGGCTGCAATTTTTTTAAAAAAAATACATCAGTAATTTGAAAGCTTCTATCAGAAATGATACATAGTGAGTTTATGTGCATGTATTGTAGCACTAACCAGCATTTAGTGCTATGTACTACAAATGTCTCAGTGTCTCTCTCTCTCAGTTCATCTCCACCATCGTATCTTTTGACTTAATTCACTCAAAGTTCTGTGTATTAGTTCCCCATTATCAGTGCCCATACAAGCTGTTCTGTCCCCTCCCACGAGTGGCCTTGCAGAGGCTCAAATAGCCTGGCAGTAACAAACGCAGGCTAGAGAGACTGAAGCTGGCCCTTTAATAAATAGTTCTCTTCCAAAGCATATATCAGTCCAATACTTACCAGGCAATGTTCCAAGGTCTTGGCAGACGGTCAGCAGGCTAATGCAGGAATGCAAACTCTTGTCAAAAACTCCAAACTAACAGTTGTAACTCCACTGCATCCAAAACGCCAGCAAATTGTTCACCACGCCTTTTCAGTCCAGTCACACCCCTTTTATACTTTGTAGGGTATGGCCCTACGTCTCCTGACCACACCTCTTGGGACGTGGCAATAGCTGTTCTCTACGACGTCTCCTACGTCTCTCTCTTGCATCCAATAGGGGCTCCCCCTCATTGTTACCAGCCTCTGTTTCCTCCTCAATTTGGCTGGGGTCCATAGGCACATCAGCAACTGTCAGTTCTTCTGACTCACCAGTGAAGACGGCCCCTCCGTCTGTCATAGCTCGTGACAGCTTCCTCCTCCATATCATCCTCCGAATCAGCATGCGAAGATAAATCAGCCTCCGGGGCCAGGGTAACAACACAAGCATTTTAATAGCTGCACCATCTATGCTCTTCAAACAGAGCGCCTCTCTGAATACCAGATGATGGAGACAAACAATACAAAGACTGCCTGTTTTTGTTCTTCTCTTAAACTTCCTAAAGACGTTTATTCGATGGTGCTGAACAAAACGGGAATAAATTATTGAGCCATTGCCATGAAACCCCAGTTGCAACTCCTTTCCCCTTATATTTACTCCTACAAATCCATTTTATAAAAGGAAATGACAAAAGAAATCCAAGCTCAAAAATGCAACTCAGTCTTGAAGATTGAAGATGGCAATGCTGGGCCAGTCTTATGGGTCTGCTAGGCTTGCTGAAAGTCTAAGAATGGAATAAGAGGGAATATTAGAATTTTCTTTACCTTTCAATATTTGCCAGCATGTTCCTTCAACTGTTTTGCTATTATCATTACTCTTTAGAAAGTATGATCATTGGTGGATTTCAGACAGAAAAAGCAAGTAGGAGCCTTGGTAGTACAGTGGTTTAAAGCACCCTGTTATTAACACAGCTGCCTGCAATTACTGCAGGTTCAAATCTTACCAGGCTCAAGGTTGACTCAGCCTTCCATCCTTTCTAAGGTAGGTAAATTGAGGACCCAGTTTGTGGGGGCAATAAGCTGACTGTATAAATATACAAAAGTATGAAGGCTATTGCTTAACGCATTGTAAACCGCCCTGAGTCTCCGGAGAAGGGCGGCATATAAATCATTTTTTTAAAAAAATATATATATATCAGCTATTCATATCTTGGACACTCGGGTCCTCCTGAGAAAATTTCTAATCACCTTTGTAATTTAACTGAATATGTAAAAATGTACATGCAAACTCAACACAGGCTTACATGTCAAAATAATGGGGGAAGATTGTGATTAAAATTTCCAATAATACTTTATTCTACTGAAGAAATGCAATCTTACATTCCTCTGGATTCATTGTAGTAGGGAGGAGAAGGCTGCAACCACAGGCCCACGGTGGTGCAATGATTAGAATGCATTATTGCAGGCCAATTCTGCTGACTGCCAGCAGTTCAATTCTCACTGACTCAGGGTTGACTCAGCCTTCTAAGGTTGGTAAATTAAAATAAGGACCCAGATTGGGAGCAATATGCTGATTCTGTAAAACCACTTAAAGAGGGCTGTAAAGAACTGTGAAGCCATATATAAGTCTAAGTGCTAAGTGCTACTTGGTCTGTTGTGTGGATGTTTGGGTGGTTTAGGGGTGGGGAATTGTAGTGGGTAGGAGTGTATTTGGGATTATGTGTGTTGGACCTGGTCTTTGGGTGTTAAGTGAATTTAGTTGTATGTGTATACTGCGTATACACATACAATGACAATAAAGTTTATTTATTTATTTATTTATTTATTTATTTATGCAAATTATTTCCAAGAATCTGCTACTCACCTACCTATTAATAATAATAAAGTTTTGTTTTTTGATCCATTTAAATCAGTCTTGGCTCCTGGCAACTGCCTAGATAAGTCCCTGAAATTTTCTTGGCAAGATTTTGGAAGTGATTTGCCATTGTGTTCTTCTTAGGGCTGAGGTGGACTGACTGGTCCAAGTCACTCAGCCAGATTTCATGCTTAAGGTGGGATTAGAACTCACAGTCTCCTGGTTTTTAGCCTGATTCCTTAACTACTAGACCAAGATGGCTTATTAAAAAGGGTATTAGTTATGGATACTGGAGACCATATTATGTCATTTATTTACAATGACACATTAAACATTATCCTGTAGCATGCTAATGATTCTAGGACATGGTTTGGAAATGACATCCCTGAAGCCTAATGTGCTCTGAAAATGGAACTCAGTAGCATGGGATCAAGACTAAAGTAATTGTTGCATTATTAAAATCAAATAAAAAAGCTGATTACTTAGCCAAGAAAAATGGAACTTCTTTAATGTTTCTAGCTTAATTAAGGGCAGATTAGAATTCAACCTGGGGGAAAATATATATTTGCATTCAGACGCAGAGGCACAGGTCAAATGCAAATTATCTGGCAATTCTGAGAAAGAATGAAGAAAAGGGCTTCTGTTTGGGTGCCTGGAGAATATTTATTGTTGGCCTTGTTAGTCATATTTTTAAACTAATGCATAATCATGAAGAGAATGGAAATCTGCTTTGTTTAAAATTTTAGCATGCTATTTAGTAAATATGGTTTAGAATCTCCCACTAATAAAAGAGGTCAAACACATTAAAAATTACAGAAGCAGTAGGGATCTAGAAGCAACATGAATATTAAGCAGACACCAGCAAAATGAAATGAAAATACAAGGTTAAAACTGAAATTTTATTTATCTAGACTAAACCCCATTTACTTTGGTTGAATGCCTCCTGAGTGGACATAAATATGATTATTCTGTAACAACACTGGGGTGTAATCAAGTGATACTTACATGCCTAGACTGGAAATCTCTAAAGAGGTTCTTCTGAAAAGTCTCCTAACTGGGAAGTTGTCTAGCTAGCTGATAATGTAGTTTAAATTTGATTACACAGTGACAACTGACTGTATAACAAGGGTGGGGGGGACACAAGCAAATAAGAATATTTTGTGGCTATCCAGATATGATTGAAGGAATCTCCCTTCCTTCATCCCACCTTTTCTTATCATTGACTTAACTAATTGTAGAGGAAGTCCTCTACAATCAGTAAAGATCTGATATCCGAGAGGCATCTTGGAGTCCAAGTTCCGAGAGGGGTCTTGGAGTCGAAGTGGGCAATCATTCAAATACACCAGAATAACAGAGTTGGAAGGGGCCTTGAGGTCTTCTAGTCCAACTCCCTGCTCAGGCAGGAATTCCTATACCTTTTCAGACAAATGGTTGCCTAGTCTCTTTTTGAAAGCCTTCAGTGATGGAGCCAAGAGTGTGCCACAGCAGCTAAATATATATAATGTTGAGACTCTGGAAAGAGTGCAGAGAAGATCAAGAAGAATGATTAGGGGGCTGGAGGCTAAAACATATGAAGAACAGTTGCAGGAACTGGATATGTCTAAGTCTAGTGAAAAGAATGGGGAGACATGATAGCAGTCTCCAATATTTGAGGGGCTTCTACAAAGAAGAGGTGGTCAACCTATTTTCCAAAGCATCAGAAGACAGAACAAGAAGCAATGAATGGAACCTAATCAAGGAGAGAAGCAACCTAGACCTGAGCAGAAATTTCCTGACAGTGAGAACAATCAACCAATTGGATAGCTTGCATTTAGAAGTTGTGGGTGTTCCCTCACTGAAGGCTTTCACAATTTGTCTGAAATAGTAGAGTCTCCTGCTCAAGCAAGACTAGAAGACCTCTGAGGTCCCTTTTGTCACATATAAATTCCAAACTCCCATACCACCTCCTACTTGGTACAGTAAGGGTTAACACCCACACCCTCACCTTTCCCACAACTCCTCCTTACCTTTAGCCACGCCTCCCTAGTACTTAAGCGACATACGCGTGCACTGCAACTTCACCTGTAAGAGAGCAAAGTTGACTCAATAAATATGATTGGAACATACCATTGATTCTGAGTATTTCTTGGGCTAGATTCTCGTATCTTAACACCTTCCAACTCTATTATTCTGTTCTATGATTGGACCTAGGAAAACAAACCATCAAAAATCCTCAATAGTTTATTTGCAGTTGAAGCATTATGTGGATTTCATGATGAAAGTTGTGATACATCTTCATGCTGTAAGTTCTACCCTTTTGATAGATGCATGCAATGTTCTAATACTGTACATGTCCAAAAAGGACGGAGGAAAGAGCATGTGATATGGCAATATGATGCTGCTTTCCATATTTCCCCTCAAACCTCCTGCACATGTTCTAATTGCAATTATTTATAACTTTTGTTTTTTAAAAAAGAGGCTTTAACAATGCTTTACCGCCATGTTCGACATCACGTATGAATTAAGTCTTGTTAAAATAAATGATTCATATGAATGAGAATTTTAACTGGGAATCAAATCAGTTTCTCTAGATCCTATTATAAGCTAGTTAGCAAATTTGAACAACCCACTTTGGATTTTGATTTAGTGAAGGCTTAATTTGCTTCATTTGAATCATAAAATATGTTACATGTTTCTTTGTTGAGAATTATGAAACATTATCACCAATCTGTTCCAGAAAAACTGGAATATCATTCATGACACCTGAAGAGAAGAAAATGTCAGTTATAATTTTCTTGTTATGCCTTTATAATTTGCCCATGATTACAAACTATTATAAGAGTATATTGCAATATTTCCCTGATATAAGTTTCCATGAATACTTTCCATGAAATTATTCCCTGAGAACTCATTTTTAAGTTGCCTTTCTTCTTCTTTCTGTTTGCAAGACTTACTAAATTTATTTTACTTTATTTTACAGATTTTTAAAGGTACATTCTAGAGGAGGAGGAGGAGAAGGAGGAGGATGAAGAGGAGGGAGGGAGGGAGGGAGAGAGACAATAGAGATTAAAAAGATAAATATAAAGATTATTTTATCCCAATTATAACTATTATTGAAATTTAATTAAGAATCAACAACTAGCATAATGTAAGAAGCATGAAGTTTCTATCTAATTTAAGAAATGTAATAATCATCCTTATTATAACAAATAAAATTCAATGTTGTAAAACCTATGTTGAGATCAGAATAATCTAGAAGAAAAATAGAACATTTCAGAATTCTCTGGAAAGGAGACTCATATTATCCAGAATAGAGCCCTACTAAAATAGTGGGACTTACCACAACAGAGGTGGGTGTAGGACTACATCTTTACTTATTAAGATAATCAATTAAGTTATACTTTATTTTCTGTTATTTCTAGTGCTTCTTCTAAGTATTCATCAAGTTCTGTCTATTTTAAAAATTAATCACACCTCAAAATATATTTATAAAAACTGAAATAAGAGAGTTTAAAAAAAAAACTTGAAAAGATAATTGCTATTTTTAAGGCTACAATTTCTTCAGGTGGTAAAAATGGTATTCCTTACAACATTTAGAATGATAGCTCAACTTTATATAGTTTTTTAATAATATGTTCTGGAATTATGTCTAAACTTTTTTTCCCCAAAACCTGTTTTTTTCCCCCAAATCTTAATTGTAGTGATTTTAGATATAAGTTTCAAACTGAGTGTCTGCAGAGATTCTTCTTCCTCAAGGGAAAAAAAAACAGTTCAGTTTCCTTTTGAAAAAGCACCTTTGAGATTTCAAATTAAGTGTCTTTTTGTATTTTCTTCTTCATGCTTTAATGCTTTAGGCTTTAGGATATATGTGACCCACACCAAAACTCCTTTTTGTGATACTCTGAAATTGCACTGCTGTATTTAAATGTATTTGTCATTCTATGGTCTTGTAGAGGGACTTGGTGCCTCAGTGGCTAAGACGCTGAGCTTGTTGATCGAAAGGTCAGCAGTTCAGCAATTCGAATCCCTAGTGCCGTGTAACAGGGTGAGCTCCCGTTACTTGTCCCAGATTCTGCCAACCTAGCAGTTCGAAAGCACATAAAAAATGTAGGTAGAAAAATAGGGATCAACTTTGGTGGGAAGGTAACAGCGTTCTGTACACCTTTGGCATTTAGTCATGCTGGCCACATGACCATGGAGACATCTTTAGACAGCGCTGGCTCTTCGGCTTTGAAATGGAGATGAGCACCGCTCCCTAGAGTTGGGAATGACTAGCACATATGTGTGAGGGGAACTTTTACCTTTACCTTTACCTTATGGTCTTGTAAGCTGCAATGAAAAAAAAACCCTATAACCACTCCTTTCCATGGAAAATACCATAGAAGGAAACAAAACAAAAACAATAGGATATGTTAGCCTTGCCTTCACAAAAGACACAAACTCATTCACTCGTTTTACTCCTCTATACCTTGATCTACAAAGCTTGAGCTATAAGTTTGTATACTGGTATACTACTGGTATACTAGTATACAGATAATGGTCATTGCCCATGTGCTCATTTCTCAAGTCAAGAAAATAAGCAGAGAGTGACATTTAGAGCCTTTGAGTAGAATGCATTCCTCACTATAGCATGTTTTCCCTGCTTTCATATACAGTACTTAGTACTTAAAGGGATTCAACCATTCGGCCATGTTTGCTTTGAGATCTGTGCCCTTTAATAATGTGAAATGTTATTAAGAACCTTCAGAACCACTGATGGCCTTTTATAAGGATAATCTTCAACCACGAGATAGGATCAATAGGACAAGCTAAGTTTCAGAATTACAAAAAGCAGTCAATCCCCCATAAACACAACTCTTGGACCTGACATGAGTGGCTAATTAGATGATAAGGTTGCCATGGAAAGTGAGAAAGCCAAATCATCCCAAGGCTTAATTGTTCAAAGCAGACCTTGTTTAGATAGTGCCAGGAGTGTGCCATTGAATATTTGTATGTGCAGGATATTTGTATTAGTTCTGAAATAAATATTTCCTAAGCTATACCCAAAACACAATAACGATGGAGCATTTTTTGAGTCTGCACTAGATGCACTGTAAGAATAATGAGAAAACAAATAACAGAATAACAGAGCTGGAAGGGACTTTAGAGGTCTTCTAGTCCAACCCCCTGCTCAAACAGGAAAACCTATACCAGTTTAGACAAATGGCTATCCAGTTTCTTCTTAAAAACCTCCAATGTTGGAGGATCTACAACTTCTGAAGGCAAGCCATTCCACTGGTTAATTGTTTTCATTGTTAGGAAGTTTCACCTTTATTCCAGGTTGCTTCTCTCCTTGATTAGTTTCCATCCATTGCTTCTTACCTTGCCTTCTGAATCAGCATCAGAATCAGAATAGAGCTGGAAAGGACCTTGGAGAACTTCTAGTCCAGCCCACTGCTCAAGAAGAATAGAAGAAGAGAATTCTTTATTGGCCAAGTGTGATTGGACACACAAGGAATTTGTCTTGGTGCATATGCTCTCAGTGTTCATAAAAAGACAAGATACATTCGTCAAGACTCATAAGGTACCACACTTAATGATAGTCTTAGGGAACAAATAAGCAATCAAATCATATTAGGAAACAGTCAATATAAATTGTAAGGATACCAGCAACAAGGTTACAGTCATACAGTCATAAATGGGAGGAGATGGGTGATAGGAATGATGAGAAGATTAACAGTAGTGCAGACTTAGTAAATAGTTTGACAGTGTTGAGGGAATTATTTGTTTAGCAGAGTGATGGCATTTGGGAAAAAATTGTTCTTGTGTCTAGTTGTTCTGGTGTGCAGTGCTCTATAGTGTCATTTTGAGGATAGGAGTTGAAACAATTTATGTCCAGGATGTGAGGGGCCTGTAGATATTTTCACAGCCCTCTTTTTGACTCATGCAATATACAGGTCCTCAATGGAAGGCAGGTTGGTCGTAATTGTTTTTTCTGCAGTTCTAATTATCCTCTGAAGTCTGGGTCTGTCAAGGAGGAGTTCATATACCATTTCAGACAAATGGCTGTTCAATCTCTTTTTAAGAGGTCATCTGAAAGAATGGAGATAGTCCTTCCCTTACAGCTGTATGTTTAAGCAACCGTTCAGAGTTACAATGGTACTCAAAAAGTGTCATAGAACCAGTCCTTGCACATCATAGCATCCCCAAGGTCACATGATCCAAATTTGAACACTTGGCAACCAGCATGTACTGTATATATGACAGTTGCATGTCCTGTGGTCATGTGATTGCCATTTGGAACCTTCCCAATTGGTTTCCAACAAGCAAAGTGGATAGGGAAGCTGGATTTGCTTAATAACCACACGACTCATTTAACAAATAGAATGATTTGGTTAAAAAAAAGGTCATAAATCTAGGTGCACCTCACTTCACAACTGTCTTGTTTGGCCACCCATCTGACCACAAGGTAATTCTGGGTGGTTATATATATACACACACATATAGGGAGTTTCTAATTATATTAGAAAGTATATACATGAGAAACTGCAGTTAGGTTAATTTATTTTTCCAGAAACTTTCATTGATCAACCCACCTCAAACTTCATGGCTCAGAAGTCACACAAAGTAACAATCACCTAAGAGAAGCTCGATTCCCAATTTATTGCTAGATTCATCTAATTCCATAATCTTATTCAAAACATCATTAAATTTAGAGATTGCTCAATATTATCACAAGAAAATAGAGAAAAGGCAGCACCAGCCTCTTCCGTGTCTCCTATTTTCAGAGCATTCCAAGTGCTTTTGGATAAGTGAATTTATTTAAGGGGGGGGGAATGAAAGAAGGGGGTTTGCCACTCCATTTGCTGCTCATGCATGTGACACAAACTTCAAAGTGCTGCCTTAGCATAAAATCTGCAGCAAAAACAATCCAGCCATCCTTGGCCTGCAAAGGAAAATTGCCACTTATAAATACAACTTTCATAAAAAAAGAAAAAAGAAAGCTAGAAAAGTTAAAATGATTTGTTTGAGGAAAAGGAACACTGCTTGTCTCTTAGGGACTAAAAGCCTCATAAAATGATTTCCTGTTCTTCTAAACACAGTGAATATCATGTATAGATTTCATTCAAGTAATGCCAGGACGCCTACAGAAAGGCATTAATGTTCTGGTTTCGTAATCAATCCTAAGTCAATACACAACAAGACCAAGACTTTTGTAGCAGTCTTACCATTTTCTTATGCTATGGATTGTTTTATGCTGTCAGTGGATGTTACTGCACTTAGGCATTTAAATTGGGGAAAGGGCAAGGTAATTTTGGAATATATGAAAGACAGAATTGAATTACTCACCTTGGTGTCCATTCATATCTCCTCCTCCTCCTCCTCCTCCTCCTCCTCCTCCTCCTCCTCCTCCTCCTCCTCCTCCTCCTCCTCCTCTTCTTCTTCTTCTTCTTCTTCTTCTTCTTCTTCTTCTTCTTCTTCTTCTTCTTCTTCTTCTTCTTCTTCTTCTTCTTCTTCTTCTTCTTCTTCTTCTTCTTCTTCTTCTTCTTCTATTCCCACAGGTGCTGGGTCTGCTTTTCAGATCATTAAACGCCACTTTGCATAGTCAGTTGCATTTCCAGGGCACAGGCCCGCAGCTCGCATATCTTTGTTGATGGTATCTTGCCATCTCTGTTTTGGATGCCTGCACGGTCACTGGCAATTGACTTCTAGTTGGTAGGCAATCCTGGCCACGGTGGAAGATGTTGCTTTCAGGACACGTCCATACCATACTCACATCTTCTCTAATAATTGCTGCCATGCTAAAATGCTATTGAATGGTGTCATTTGTGATGTGGTCAAGAAGGGAGATGCCCGATATTCAACGGTGCATTCACATTTCCATGGAATGGACGTAACTTTCGGTTCCTGTTTTTGCTGCCCAGTGTATCTGAGCGTGTCATTGCAAATCTCTCTCTCTGTCTCTGTCTCTCCCTCCCTCCCTCCCTCCCTTTCTCTTTCTCTCTGTTTCTGTAGGTATGCTTTCTTATGCACTCTTTATCATTGAGTATGGTAAGGTGATAGCTTTTGCCTACTCTTCCCTCAAGCTGAATGTAATGATTTTTGCATTTATTTAGAGCTATTACAATGAGATATTACTTCTGGTTAGATATTCATTTTGAAAATGTCTAATTCTTTTTTTTTCAGCAATTGAAGGGATTGAGGTCAGGACTATGGTTTGGTCAAGGAGGGAAGATTTTTTAAAGCCTCCCCCCACCCCATTCTGACCAAAATTTGTCTCAATGCCAAAAAGCCAGACTTGGCAAATGGATTGTTGGCACGCTGGAATCTTTTAAAAAAAAATCGCCATGACAAGTCGCTGATTCTTATTGGGCGTCCTTTCAAATTCTGTATTAAACAAAAGGTACAGTTGGGCCATTCAGCATTTTATCTTGATTTTTAGATATATATTTAATTTATATGGCTGCCCATTTGAACAAAGTGATTAAAAGCCAATAAGGACCAAAATAAATACATATCTGACAGCCAAGGTAAATCAATAAACTATCAACATAACCACTTCACAAACTCAACTGACACTCTACCCCTCATGCCTGGGCACACAACCAAATCTTTGGGGACTTATTAAAAGGGAAAAAGAGTTGGGTTAATCTGTTCTCTGGTGGGGAATGATGTTCCAAAGAGGAGGTATCACGAGAAAATAAAAAGGTCTCCTCCTGATTCCTATTAGTGGAGTCTAATTGATGTAGAATGTTTCATTTTGCAGATCTGATGGAATAGGTTAGACACAATAGGGGAGAAGTGATGTCTCACATAACCTAGCCTAATGCCACGAAGGACTTTATGGGTAACCACCACTTGAACTGAAGGCAGAGTCAAACATGAGTGTCACATGTGCAGCTTGAAGAATATTCCTAAGTGTTCACCTTGTTGCATTTTGAACCTGCTTCAACTTCTGGTAGCTCTTCAAGGGCAGTTTTATGTAGAGAATGTTACACCAGACCACCTGGGACCTTTGTAGGCACAAAGGAAGTATGGCTCATATTTTTATTCTCCAGCTACTCTTTGCTCGCAAGTCTCTGCTGCTCAAGGCAAGTGTTCCTTGTATCTCATGGCACAGCCAGGATTTCCCAGTCCTTGCCTATGTAGTTATGACCCCCTCCCCTGTTTCAGCATCTTTCAGAAAAGTATTTGGATTTTCTGATATGTGACTTGTTAGTTTCTGTAGATGGAATAACATGGTGTTGAAACGGCTGCTGAATGCTGGCTGACAGCAAGAATTTCATTGTTATCTTCTTGATTCTCTCAACAGGCAATCTTCACAAAGCACAGTGCTGCATTTTGCAATGTGCCAGGCATACTAAATGGGCAAAACCTGTTCAGATTTGTCTTTGCAACTGCTTCTTTTATTATTTGTGTTATGATCCATTTTAATTTTTGGCCAAACTGTGAGCTATCGTTTCATGTATGAAGCAATGCTATGAATAAAAACCATTGATGTACTGCCTTGCAGTTTATCATTATTTTTCTACCAAATTCCTATTTTGGTTGCTTATTTTAATCTCTTTAGCTCCCTGTTTTTCCTTTCTCCTCCCCAATACTGGATGTTTAATTATGTATCAACCCATGGTCAATATATTTAGGTGAGGTATTTTCATTTCTCATGGTAATATACAAGGCCATCTGTGTTCACATTAACTTTATTCCTATTTGAAGAAAGGTCAGGCTGTCGATCAACCAAGTAGATCAACTAATTAATAGCCATAGCCTAGGCTGATGCTAACTATATTGTCATGCCTATACACAGCTAACACAAATCACAAGTCCTCATTCTTCCCCATACTAAAGCAAGGACTCCTTCCCATGTTATCTTCCAGTAGTATATGTCCAATTATTTGTCAGTGGGATGGGATTCTGTTAGTAAATAGTTTGATTTGATACAGACTATGTCTCCGCTATTATTTCATACCATCAGATATTTAATAATATAATAGACAGTGTTATAATTGTGTAGCATCCATTGTATTTCAGTTCTTTCATTACAGTATATGACACAGTAAATTTGATTAAGGCACCAGGTGAGAAAAGTGGGAGACCAAGATTCCCAGTCCAGCCTTAGCACAAAACCAGGTGGGTAACCTTGAGCCAGTCAATTTCTCCCAGCCCTGGGAAGCAGGCAAGGGCAAACTACTTCATGATGTTTCCAGACAGAAGTATTAGATAGATATGTATAGGTGTATAAATTATACTACTATGTATCAGTGGTGAAATGTAAAATTTGTTACTACCGGTTCTGTGGGCATGGCTTGGGGAGGGGGGGAGGGTTAATGTGACTGGGTGGGTGTGGCCAACTTTTTTTTTAAAGCATTTTTTCTACAACCTCTTCGGCCGAAGACCATGACCATGATTTATATTTTTGCCAAAAATGGGATTATCTTCTGTTTTTTGGCAAAACCATCCCATAGTGAGCAATGAGTTTGGTTAATAACCACTGCACCTCTAGTAATTATTAGTAGATGTGCCTCATCATCTCCTCTGTTACTATAGTCAATAAATGTGTAGATAAGATGGGGGAAGCATAAAAGAAAGGGAAAGACATGGATAAGAAAAAGTATTCATCGATAAACCCAAAATATATTGTTAAATCATGGTCATATGGTATCCTGTTTGCTTCTGATTTATTTTTGATTCTTGGAATGTTTTCTTGGTTTGAAAAATAAGTTCCTCTTTAATCACAGTTCTGCATCTTTCCATTTCCTTCTTTGGAATTTTGTTTCTGTTTTTTTGATTTGATAACTTGAAATGAAATGTCTACCTGCTTGCCCAAGGTGGACTTCAGATCACCCTTCAAACATATTTGTGGGAAAAATTACTATTCAGTACAAAAATGTCCTTAAAGATATGTATCTCAATTCCATAAGTAGAATTTAACATTTATTTTCTATTGCATGTAGTTTATTGTTTTTTTTTTTGTTTTTTTTTTGCATAAGTAACATTTAAGCTATGCCTCTTACTCTGCACTCAGTTATGTACAAAATAGTTTAACCAGGTTGTTTGTGAAAGAGTAGTTCATGAAATTCTTTTTCATATTTAATCTTCCTTTCTTACTTTTTTTTAGTCCTTTGAGTCAGTATTGTGACTCAAAATTGCAAGTTCCTGCAATTTTTTTGACAAGATTATGGAAGCATGGTCTCTTTCCTAGGGCTGAGAGAGAGTGACTGGCCAAGGTTACCCATCCGGCTTCATGCCTAAGGCAGTATTACAACTCACAGTTTCCTAGTTTCTAGCCTGATGCCTTAACCACTATCCCAAACTCTCTTTCTCTCTCTCTCTTTTTTTTTTAAAAAAATTTGATTTATATGCCGCCCTTCTCCGGAGACTCAGGGCGGCTTACAATGTGTTAAGCATTA